GGGGGTAATTAAAAAATTATAAAAAAAAATTTTTTTTTTTTTTTTTTTTGTTCTTTTCTGCTCTTCTCTTCTTCTTCTTCTTCTTCTTCTTCTCTCTCTCTCTCTTTCTCTCTCTGTTTTTTGTTTTTATTTTATTTTGGGTTTGATGAATGCACTTTGAGGGAAACTAACTTCAACCGACCCTCGAATCTGTTTTGAAATAATTTTGGTCTGAATCATTTGTAATATCACCTTTTAATGCTGTTCCTTAATTTCCATATTTTTACCTTTTCCAGATTCCCTTACACCAAACATAAAAGAAAATAAAAGAAAATAAGAAAATAAAAAAGAGAACAATAGAGGAAAAAAAAAAGAGCAATTCAGTTTTCAATTGAAGATTTACAGCAGAGATGAGTGTTTCCGAGGTTGGATCTTACCCATTCGTTCGACCATAACAATACCCAAAAAAAAAAAATAACAAAAAAAAAATTGTGGACTTCCAATATCTTTTGCCGGAATTTTTAAGCACAAGCGCAAGGATTATCAACGACAAGCGTGACATCCTCATCGGAGGTACGAAAGAGAAAACAGCCGACGGCGAGGCCCAAAACGACGGCGACAAACACGCCTCCGTTGAACGACATGATTGCGAGCATGAGGAGGTACCCGATCGCCGAGTTCACGCCGAAGAGCAGAGCTCCGGCGAGCCTCGCCAGCGACCATTTCCCGCTGGCGAACCTCTTCTGGAGGAGCGGAGCCTCGATCTGCTGCGTAGACGACGGCTTTCCGGCGGAGGCGATCTTGATTCGGAGGCGGAGATCCTCCATGTATTGGTAGAAGGCGGAGGCGATCAGGCAGGCGAGCAAGGTGAGGACGTAACCCGTCCACGAAGAGGTCCGCCATGAATCTACCAGGAGAGTCACCTGCTTGCTCCAGTAGAAGGTCATGTGCATCATCTTCGCCGTTCGAGTTTTAGAGAGAGAAAGTTCTCTGATCGAGTTCTAGAGAGAGAGAGAGAGAAGGGAATTTCAGACTTTCTTTTTCTTGTTGGTTGAAAGCGTAAACCAAGTGGAGATAACGGCGTTATAACTTATTAGTGTATTTTCTTCGTTGTACTACATGATTATGCATAGTACGATTTTACTAACTCACAATTACGGAAAATGACTCTCGTAAATAGCTTTATTACGATTTTGTCCAGCTTCCATAGCCTATTAATTGGCCTTGGGTCGTTTTGGGCTTCTGTTGTTCGGAGGGGTCATATGGGGAATTCAACAAAGATATTGATGGAGAAAAAAGAAAAAAGGCAAATAAAAGGAGGCCGGTGGCAGCGACGAAACCGGAATTTTTCCCCATGGAATTAATAATTAATGCATGATACAAAAGATTATTTTTTTTAAGGAAAATTAAACGGGGGTTTGAGCCCCAGTGAACCTCATTTTGTTGGTGGACATGTTTTCAAGTTGGAACTTGGAATACGAAAAGATTTATAAAATTTTTGTGAGTGAAAATATTATATATTATAGGATAAAATGCCGAAATAGATGGAGTCAAGTTTACAAAATAATCAAGTACAGTTCAGTCTTAAGCGTCACGTTAGCAGACAACTCTCTTAAAAGTCGATCGCTAGAAAGAAGTAAGACATATGAAAGAATTTGACTACTCAAAAAGGATACAAAGGACAACATGAAGCTATCCGTATCTGCAATCGTAAGTGAAGAGACTTTTATAAATATTTATGAAGTCAAGACTACACGAGAGATGAGATCCGTGAGATTTACTCTCAGATTTGTTATTTGTAATTCAACTATATGAAGCTTAAATAAGAAAACCGTCATGATTGATTGTAATCTCTATCTTTTAGAAAACTATCAAAAAAGATAAGAGAAACATCCTGAATTCAAATAAGGAAAAGAATATGGGCGGTGATTATGAGTATAAATAAGAGCTTATTAGTCAGAAAATCCGTAAGACTCATTTTGAGCATTAGTGCGTGTATTCTCTTTAAAAATAGTGAATTTCCTCTCCTTTTTACAGTGGACGTAGCTCTCAAACTGAGAGTATAATGTTTGTGTGTTCTTGCTGTTTAATTGCTTTTAATTGTATTTTATATTATTTAATTCGCATAAACTGTTTAGAAATTTATTATTATTTTGTTGATGAATTTTCACTATAAATACTGTAGTAATAAAATTTAAATTGTGATTTGAGTTATAAAATGAACAAAGTCTTTAGGGTTTTTTTTTTTTTTTAAGAATAAAACGAATTTAGAATTTTTCTGAATTGAATTTTAGATTTTTTATATTTTCCTAAAAATTGGTATATGGCAGTTGTGTAAATACGTAAGAAAATAATGGTTTCTGTGGAAACGAAGAAAGCAGAAAGAACACGGATAACGAAGATGGTTCAAAGCAGTACAAAAGAGAAAAAGATACCCTGTACTGCCAAATAGTACAGTGTACATTGTAGAGACCCAATACCATAAGTTTAACTATACAGAGAACCCAAAATAAGAGAGTCAAAGAACCAACAAATTTTTTGTAAGACCAAGGGCGTAATTGAACTTTGACAATTTAAGTCTCATTTATTTTATTAATTCAAATTTAAAATTTAAGTTTTATTATAATAAAAAATCTCAGAAACAATCATATTTAATTTTTTTATTATAGTAAAAAATTTCACATAAAATCACATCTTGACTCAAATTAACGAATTAAACGAACCATTAAACTGTACACACGGATGGCTCTTTACACTGTTTCCGGTTTTTCTTTTTCTTTTTTTTCTGATTTTAACATATTCACGGTCACAATGATTATCATAATTCAAACATTTAGTTGAATTTACAGTGTGACTTGAGTGTAGTTTTAAATTGAATTTGAGTTATAACTTGAGTTGAAGTTATAACTTGAGTTTGTGTTTGGTTGTGTACATTTGAGTTATGGTTTGAGATAAGAATTTTGTTTGAGTGAGTCAAAACTTAAATTTGTATTTAGATAGTATTTTTTTAAAAACTCAATGGTGATGAAAAATTTTAATAGGGTATAAGGATAGGGTTTTATTCGTCTTTTCGTTGTCAACGCATAGAAAAAAAATCATCTCAATTAGGATTAAAACGAAAAAGTTATAACATTTTTAAGAATAGAAAAAATATTGTTCATTAATTTGAGTTCGAGTTTCTGAACTCGAGTTGAAGGGAACATTTGAACTCGAGTTTTAGTCCCAAACTCAACTTCAAACTCGAGTTCAAACTTAAAAGAACATAAACTTGAATAAAATTAGAACTCAAGTTGTCTTTTTTTGAGTTTTTTGGGCAGCCGAACACACTAGGTCTCGTTCACTTCACAAATTCAAATTTTATTACAGTAAAAAACTTTCAGAAATACTCACATTTAATTTTTTTATTATAATAAAAAAATTTATATAAAATGTTATCTTAACTCAAATTATAAACTCAAATTAATAAACTAAATGGGCTGATAGACAACGTAATCTTTAGTCTTAACTATTGTGTTCCGGTTCTTATCCCTGCCTGGCTTTTTTTTTTTAAAATAATAATAATTTATGCTTGCGTGATGGACTATTTTGCTGCAGGAAACAGTAACTAGAATTTGGCCCACTCAAAGCATGTGGTAAGCCATTCATTTGCTTTTACGTGAATGAGTAAATTAGAGAAAACAAACGTCATTACATATCCAAGTCAAATAGATTTGTATGTCCATAAGTTCTTCTCGAGTTTGAAGTCTGTGTGTGGATATGCGAGCGAATAAACCTTAAGGTATTCAGTGATTTTAATTTTTAATTTTAATTTTATTATAGTTAAAAGTTTTTGTAAAAAATCACATTTAAATTTTATTTTTTACTACAGTTAAAATTTTTCACATAAAATCACATCTTAAATTAAATTTAAAACTCAAATTTACAAACTGAACGAGTCTTAAAATTCTGTACCGATTTATGTTTTTTAGGACTTTGCTAAAACAAGGTTGGCTTCAATCGAAAAGTTGAACTTCATTCTCGCGGATAGAGACATCATATAACTATTATTTTGCATCTTCCTCCCAACTTGCTTTGGATTATCTTTATATTCATTGTAATTGAAAGTGTCATTTGTTTTAATTTATTGAATGAAGAATAAAAATCACGGAAATAATAAGATAATGTTTAATTTATAGATTTAAAATCATAATTTATGATTCTAATTTTTAAAATTTAAATTTTTTATGATAAAAAAATACTGTAAAAAATTATAAACTATAATTCAAATTACGGATACACGAAATAAACATTCCTTAATATCCACGTATAAGAACTTTTTTGTGTACCCCCATTGGCCCAAATAGAAAAAGGCAAATCCACAAAGTCAAATCGTTCACTTAATGAGACTTTTAACAAACAAACACTACTGGGCTAGACTCGCGGCTAAAAAGTGAGACATTGCAAATGTTGCAGTCAAAGAAAAGGGAAACAAAAGTGACAAAATACTTGCATTGCAAGATATATCCAGAGTCTAAATTGTCGTTCAACATGAGGTGTAGAAAGGCCAACTTTATGAAATTATCAAATCGATTTGAAAATTTTGTCCGTTCATTGATTCGAGTTTTTAATCTAAGTTAAAATATAATTTTATGTGAGAATTTTTTACTGTAATAAAAAAATTAAATATAATTAATTTTAAGAATTTTTTACTGTAATAAAATTTAAATTTTAAACTCAAATAACTGAATTAAGGTGTTACACTTTTCAGCTACTGCGTAAGATTTGGGGCAACTCATAATCCTTCGATACTTCCTTCATCTACGTGGATTTGGCCCAGACACTTTACGAGTTTACAACCACAACTTGTGGGCCCACTCCGTCCCCCAGATATTTTTTTTTCTTTCTGGGATTTATAAAAAAAAGACAGAACTTCAACTGTTATCATATCTGTCTGTTCTTATCCCCAAATCCCAATCAAGAGAAACATCAACCAGTTAGCAGATACTAAAGCCTTGAGAGAAGACCAAGCGAAGACTTGAATTACATGAGAAGCACGTTTGGATATAATGTTCAATAGTAAATTATATTTCAAAACCATGCAAAAGCTTGCTTGTGTACAATTTGACGAGCTTGTAAACAGAAGTAGTTCGATAAAAGTAGAACAAGAATATAAAAACATTTCCAAGAAATAGTCACCAACTTTTTGTAAATTTTGATTGAACTCCGGCAAAATACATTACCTTACAATCCATCCAATTACGAAAATATCAAATAAGATCAAACCCAATAGAACTAAAAACTAAAATTCCAACAATAACTAAAGGCACTAATTAACTAGCTTAAAAAAAAATTGAACAACAAACAACAAATTAACACAACATAACATTGCTGATAGATCCATTTACGGCCTACCATTTGAGCTATGGACAACAAATTCCATTATTAATTTCTCTTCCGCAATTGAAGCTTTGTTTTACTCGCTCTGCCTCTCCGGCATTGTAGCGAAGCAGCTTTTGGAGCGGCCGAGAGGTCGACAACCCGCGAAATCGTTCTTCCTCGGAGAATCCAGAGTCCGCCGGAGAAGTTGTTTCATGGCCGAGATCAGGTCCTCGCCGGGATTGCTCGGAGGACTCGACGACCTGAACTGCTCGCAGAACTTCATGTGCCGCTTCACCGCCTCGCCGGTCCCGATATCCTCTCTCTGCGATCTGAATACCTCGTCCTTGACCGCCTCGGCACAGAGCCCGCAAATCCAGCGGCCCTGGTACCTCTCCCTCACGCGTGCAATGTACGCTGGCGTGCACTCCTCCGTCAGCCTGCAGCAGTAGCATCTCGCGAACTCCACGTCGGCGGGCCCCCGCCGGAGCGCTCCGGGATTGAAGCTCCGCGACCGAAGATGAAATCGCCTTCGCCGCCATTTTTCCCCCCCCAAAAGAACCCTAACCGAAATCCCTAAATCAAATCAAAATTACCAATAACGGAAAACAAAATTCGAACACAATATATATGTAAATTGAAAAAAGAAAAATTAAAATTCCACGCCCGCGTAAATATGGAAATCTAAATTTAAGCCTCGAAATAAATGTCAATAGAATCCGGTCCGAGATTCTTACCGTTCGACTTGGAAATTCGAACTCGAATCAGCTCCAATTCTTGCAGTTACAGTTTCTCTGTCTTCTTCTTTCCTTTCTCAGCTTTCAAAACGAGAGAAACTGTAACGGCAAATTGACCTTATTTTATGCTATTCACTTAAGGAAAGCAAATTTATCGCTCCTTTTCCCACTCGTTTTCCTCAACTTTCTCGCCGCCAGTGAGAATCAGCCCGAGAATCACAAACATGTCTCGGAGCCTTGATTGGCTCGCTCTGTTGCCCAGATTAATCAATTTCGAACATGAAAGTACCAAAACGGGAAAAGAAAAGAAGAGAAAAGGGAAGAAAATCCCTGGAGAGATTTTCTCGCGAAATTTCTTGCGTCTCTGAAGCTTTTATGATTGTAATAATGGAAATAAATTATGAGTTTGATTGATCCTCGCGATTGTCTTCCTTATAAAAACCAGAGGAGACTGTTCCTCAATCATTGGCGGTTTGGAGGCACACGTCTAGTGGTCATTCAATGCGGTTATCAAGTACTTCGCTTCCCACCGAGTTACTATCGCGGATTATTACTGCGCGACGTGGAGTTTTCTTATTGGTGGATGTTTGTTCGTTTTACGGAAATTTGAGCGCGTGATTTTCAAAGTTTGTAATGCTTGTTAGATTTGATTAGTGGACTGCCTATCCCAGCTGTCACGACAATTACTTCATTACGTTCGTCCAAGCTAAAACGTGCGCTTTCGTTCGTCTCTTCACTCTCTGCTCCACGCGATCTGATGCGCGTGTCGACAGTTAATCTGGTAAAAGGAAGACACGTGTAAGTAGTAGTGCTTAAACTTTGGACGGGTCTCACGCGACCGCTTAAAAATATTAATTTTTTACTTGAAGCCCGACCCAATCCGTCTAAAAAATTTGTGTTGCCTGCCCGAGCCTGAAAATGCCCTTGAACGGGTTGCGGACTTCTATTTGGCTGTCTGAGTCCAGCCGGGCATACTGAGCCCGCCTGAATAACCCGAATTTTTTTTATTTTTTATTTTTTATAATTATTAAGTTATTTTGTGTTAAAATTCTATAAAAATTAAAATTAACATTCAACATACATTATTAACACAATTTAATAAATTAATCATGTATATTAATTTTTAAATTCATAATTCATTATTGTCTCGTAAAAAACCTTACCAAGAAAAATCTGATTGGGATAAAAACTTAGCAAGGAAAAACGTGTGCAATCATTTTGTGACGAATTATAAATTTTACAAATTTACAAAGTTATACAATTACAATGTTAAAACTAAATACATATTTACAAATTACAAATTTACAATTTAATTTGAAGCTGAAAGATCGTCTTCAAAATTAAATATTAATCGATTAAATTCATCGATCCATTTTGGCTTGCCGGTGAAATTGTATCCTGTAGACGTTGATCGGCCCGATCCCAATCCTTAATGCAGACAAAGGCTTCAACAATGTCCCATTGTAATGCATTCTGGCGTTCCTCAAGTATTCTTCATGTCGTACTAAAGGCTTGTTCGGATAAAATAGTTGAAACTGGGATAAAAAATATATCCATTGCTAATCGAGTTAGGATTGGCCAAGTTAATGCCCGTGCCCTCTACCATTAAACTAAGTCAAACTGCCACGCCCTGAAGCCGGGGTTAGTGACGTGGAGGCTCATTTAGAAGTTAAACGTGATTAGGAGAGTAATTAAACATTGAGAAACACAATAATCAAAATCAAAAGGAAAATGTTAAAGAAATTCCCAAATGAGCCTCACTTTTAGCTGAAAATAAACGACAAGAAAGTTACGGAGGCGCCTGCACTTTCTGGTTACAAGAGGTTAAAACTTGAGCCTCTAACATCGTTCAGGGCTTCACCCACAGGATATACAGTATTGTACATACATGAACATGTAAATAATATTACATACATAAACCACAGTCTAGAAATCTAAAGTTCAGAGTTTACAGAATTTACAATCCTTACATTTGTACACAGGGAGGATGAACACAATCCTCTTCTAATCGGATGGTAGCAACTAACTCAGCTACTTCGTACTACTCCTCGCGTCGCTTGGGAGGGGTTTAATATTTATAAAATAAATAAAACGTGAGCGAAAGGCCCAGTAGGATGTAATTTGAAATAATTTTTATAAACAAGTAAATAAATTGATGAACAAGTAAAAAGATAAATAAATACATAAATATAGACATTCAGTTCCAACACAACAGCTGGAACCTCACATCTTTTTTTCTGAAAGGAATATAAACTAAAAATTTTCGTATTAGAGGCATCAGCAAGTAATTTATCCTCTGATAAATTACTTACACAACCACAAGCACAAGGCTTATCACTACCGTAGTGATCCAGTCTGGGTTTCAGATTTTGCCCCTAAGGATACATTCTTCATATCCTATCTAGGCCATCAGTCGGTTTACCGATTCATAAAATCTCTTATCTTAAGAAATCATTCATTAAACTTTCTGAAATAGTTCACTATGATTCCAATAGCTAAAATCAAGCTATTGTTTTAAAAATGCTTTTCTTTCGTAAACATGTCATTTCTTTAAAACATTTGTAAGGCTAAACAATTGATGCCTAAAAATTCACCTAAGTTTACTAAACCACTTTCTAAACCTTCTAATTTTAATCTAGGATCAAAAATAGTACCTAAACCATACAACAAAGGCAACTTAGATCAATATTTTATAAATTTCTTTTCTATAGAATGGATAGGAACTCATAAGATTTGGTCCTCCCTATATTCGCTAAATAAAATATTAATTCGTAAAAGTTCACCGAAAGCTAAAGGTGATGTTGGGTAATATGTTCTACTAAGTTTTAGAGTAACTTCATGAAACCTACCTAAAATTTGATACAAAACTTCGACAATTTACCAATCATATGCGTCTATATGTCCTACTCGTACTTTTGCACACATATAGTTTGTTATAACATCCTTATAGGGGATGCATTGTTGAAGCATTATATAAGTTGAGTTCCATCTTATAGGCATATCTAACGCTAATGCTCTAGGAAGTATATTTAATGCTTGTAAGAGCCTAAACTAATCTTCTTGTCTTTGGTTACTACCTTGAATCTGTAATGACTGAGAAAATCCCAGACCTTAAATAATACAATTTATGTATTTAAGCCAAGGATTTTCTTAGACAAATATTACGTGACTGAAGGATTTATGGAATTAATATATGTATTCCTAAATTCTGTAGCAGATTTCATGTTAAGTTCATGTTTTCGATCAAGTAAATTCGATCGATAAATTCTCGTCGTACTTTAAGGCGGAATAATTTTCAGTACAAGTATAGTTTGAGAATCTTAATTTCAAGAATCTCCAAACACAGCATGATGTTAGCAGCGTATAAAAAAAATGCACTAACATTTTAAAAGAAGAGAAAATCCTTAATTGCCAGACAGCTAGGTTAAAGTCAGAAGATAAATACCCATAGTAGAAGGGTACAATGTGAGCTCGGGATTTGACACCGTCAGAAACAGCGTCATTCCCGAGATTTAATGCAGAAAAGTTAAATTTAGAATTTATTCAGTCTAGAATTAATTTCAAGACTTGAAACAGTTTAAGATATTACGCGAGTGAGAATTTAATGTGATCCCTAAGTAGTTGGGAATTAATATTAAACTGTAAATAAGCAGTTGAAAAGGAATCGTCAGAAACTAGAATTTCCTGTCGGCTCAGTTACTTACCTACAGTCAGTATAATTGTTAGCAGTTTCAAGAGAAACTTAAGAGAGTGGACAAAAGTACAAGGGGTAGGATTTATTTTTCTCTCTCCCATTCTCTACTTGGCCGGCCATGTATAGTAGAAATAGAGCCAAAATTTGGCTAGTTGAGTGTGATAAAAGGTTACAAGTTATGTTGTGATGTGATGGTAGTGGTTGAAGGGGAATTAATGACAATTTTGCTTCTCATTTTCTCCTTCCATAACCGGCCAAGAAAGGGGGGAATTGAACCAAAATTTGGTTGATTGAAGGAGTTGATGTGATGTTAAAAAATTATTTCCAAGTTGCCTATAAAAGGAACCATCATAGGATAAGCTTCATTTTTTTCTCCTCTCCTTTTTCCCACATCAAAAATCCGGCCATACACACCATTTCCTCTCAAATATTTTCTCCTACTCTCTCAATCTTGAGCCACTAGCACACCATAGAAGAAGAAGAAGGAGATCAAGGGATTCTAGGAGGAGACTAGTCAAGTATTCCTCTAAGGGTAAAGAAACTCTAAATCCTCTCATTCTCATGTTTTAGTGAAGTTTGAAATGTAAAAATATTCCTCTTAAATTTCCTTATACTCTTATAGTTCCAAGCCATTAACAAACCTTGGAGAAGAAGAGAAGGATCTAAATGGCTCTCAAGAAAGAGTTCTTCAAGGGTAACTTCTTGAACTCTTTTCAATTATTTTCTAGCAAAGTTTAAGTTTGAGAATCCATTTATGTAAATTGTGATTCTCAAGGAAATAAGTTGTAATAAGGGTGTGTGAGTTTTATGTTAGTTTTGTGAGTTTTGAGGTTAGTTTGATGGGGTATGTTTATGCTTGATCTAAGTTGCTTATTTTCGGATTAGAGGAAAAATTTTCCGGTGACTTTGACCGCGAAAATGAGGACCATAGAGCGAGATTTTTCAATGTTTTAAAGCTTGAACTTATAGCCCTGGATGTTTTGAACATTTTCGGTTACTATGACAAAACCTAATTTTAACTCTAAAACCAAGTTTGAAGCCATTTGGCAAAAACGGACAAGCTGTCCAACACAGTTTCAAAAAAAAAAACTGGCA